CACACTCACACACTCCATAATTTGCTCACACACACAATATGCACATATATTTATACTGACTCTACACACACCCACTCACATACAATCAGCATGTACGCTGCTGCTAATCTGTTTATCATATACCCCGTTGCTTAGTCACCTTACCCCTATACATACACTACATGTTCAAAAGTATGTGAACACCTGCTCATCGAACATCTCATTCCAAAATCATGGGCATTAATATGGAGTTGGTCCCCCTTTTGCTGCTATAAAAGCCTCCACTCCTCTGGCAAGGCTTTACACTAGATGTTGGAACATTGCTGCAGGGACTTGCTTCCATTCAGCCACAAGAGCATTAGTGAGGTCGGGCACTGATGTTGGGCGATTAGGTCTGGCTCGCAGTCTGTGTTCCAATTAATCCCAAAGGTGTTCGATGGGGTTGAGGTCAGGGCTCTGTGCATTGTCATGCTGAAACAGGAAAGGGCCTTCCCCAAACTGTTGCCACAAAGTTGGCAGCACAGAATCGTCTAGAATGTCATTGTATGCTGTAGCGTTAAGATTTCCCTTCACTGGAACTAAGGGGCCTAGCCAGAACCATGTAAAACAGCCCCAGACTAGCGGTGCGGGTCAGCTGTTTGTTCACCAACACCGCCCGCAATTGCTAATAACCTATCCGCAACCGTCCAACTATATATGATAAAGTCCAAATCTGAGGCCCGCACCCAACTCCAACATGCAAATATAAAAAATGCGCTACAGTCAAAGACTTCAATACGATTTTTTGACAGGGAGTGCAGGATTTTCTTTTGCCTGATGTAGATATGTTCTTGCTTATAATTTCCGACATTTTGGTAGGCTATTTGTTAGTAAATTTGTCTATAATTAGATACATGTAGCTTCTCTTTGGTCATTATATGTTGCCCTAGAAGACTAAATAAATCATTGCTCAACAGAATAATGTAACCTAATAGATCGATAGAATGAATTAATTTATCTGTCATCTTTCGCGGAGCAAAGACATTTAGGGACCGAGGAGAAAATACAATAAAGCAACAAAAAAAGACGGAAATATTTTCTGTGCAAAATGTCCAAATGTTTGACCAGTTGTAAGGAAAAAGAAAGCTGTGAACGACCAAACGTGTTTCTGATAAGATTTCAGTTCAGCTTGTATGATGATTTTATGATGAAGATCGTATCTAACTGAGCATTCATTGCATTCTCTCAATATGCAGAAAGAAATCATATTTCTCCACTCACGTTCCCAAGTCAAAATTGTCTACATTTGGTGTATAATTTTACAAAAATAAATGCTTAATTCTGCAGGAGTTATTATTAAGGCTATAGCCCTATTCGCACTGGACTAGTATTACTAGAGAACGTTGGTTATGTATTTATTACCCCAGAATGTCCGTTATTCCAGAGTACGATTCGGACGGGCTAAATTCTTTCCAAACGGCCCCCTGTAGGCTAATTATTTATTTTTTATATATCTATAAATTGACAGTTATGAAGGAAGCCTGGAGGTTTTTTCCTATGTGTGTGAAGATATTTCAACATGTCCAGGCGATAACAGGCTACACTGATAACTCGAGCTTGGTTCCTAAGTTTCTAAACCTTACCAAACCATCTTTGTTATTGTGTCGCCATAATTGAACTGAGGAAGTGTGATCATAATCATTAGGATATTTTAACGATCTGCAGTAGAAGACGTCCTAAATGCCCCCCAGTCTTCAGATGTGAGCTAAACAGTTAACTTGCACTTGCCATGCGTTTTTAGGCTATGGATGATAAAGTGAACTTGTTCCAAACGTTTAGCTTCGCAGTATGCTGCTTTGCGATCTATTAACAGCAAGGGTTGCATTAATTAAATAGGCGCAATATTTTTTTATGACGCATATGGCGATATTCAATTCATTCGCACAAAACGTATAAACAAAATCATTCACTGTTAAAGTTGATAAATGTAGGCCCTTCATATATAGGCTATGCAAAGCACTTCGTTCAATTTATCGAATCCATTATTCTTTTCTTTCTCAAACTGTGAGCAACACGTGTAAAACTCAAGACATTTCTCTCAAAACCCAGGGATATTGATTCGCACGGGACTAGTATTATCAGAGGACTTTGGAGTTTGCCAAAAAACAGTCTGGTTAGTCAATGTCCAGATTTAAGTTTCCATTTAAACCATCTAAACAGTAGGATACAGTTCCCTTGACATGCCATAGGCCTATTTGAAGTCCTGTCTTGCGACAGAGAATTTGTAAAGTGCCTCACAATCATCACACATAACATAGCCAGCACTGCTATCATACCCTTTTACCATTTCACCAAATCTTTTCCAAACTTTACTTTTCTGGCCCTCCCTTCTCTTTATTTTCAACTCTCCTTTCGCAGCTTTTGTCTTATTGAATTAAACTTCGACAGTGTCCTTTTTGCATTTGCGGATTGATAACTTTTTCTGCCCATTCCCAAAAGCATTATTTGGCGATTGGCTGTGTAGGCAATTTGGCGTGCATACAGTTAAACCCTAAAGTCTAGGCTGATGCACTAATACCAGATGACTAAAATAATGAAAGAAAAACCTCAATGTAGAGTATATAAATTGCACAATAATTATACATTTATGGATTTTATAAGGGATTGTTTCACTTTATTCAACCCACCCGCCCTTCAGCCACATAATATTTAATGACTGCGGGTTATGAGTCAACCCGTGCATCATTACCCAAGACCATTATTCCTCCTCCACCAAACTTTACAGTTGGCACTATGCATTCGGGGCAGGTAGCTTTCTCCTGGCATCCTTCAAACCCAGATTAGTTCATCTGACTGCCAGATGGTGAAGCGTGATTCATCATTCCAGAGAAACACGTTTCCACTGCTCAAGAGTCCAATGGAGGCAAGTTTTACACCACTCCAGCCAACGCTTGGCATTGCACATGGTGATCTTAGGCTTGTGTGCGGCTGTTCGGCAATGTAAACCCATTTCATGAAGCTCCCGATGAACAGTTGGTGTGCTGACGTTGCTTCCAGAGGCAGTTTGGAACTCGGTAGTGAGTGTTGCAACCAAGGACTGACTATTTTTGCGCGCTACGCACTTCACCACTTGGCGGTCTCGTTCTGTGAGCTTGTGTGTCCTACCACTTCGCGGCTGAGCCATTGTCGTTCCTAGACGTTTCCACTTCACAATAACAGCACTTACAGTTGACCAGGGCAGCTCTAGCAGGGTAGAAATTTGACGAACTGACTTGTTGGAAAGGTTGCATCCTATGACGGTGCCACGTTTAAAGTCACTGAGCTCTTCAGTACGGGCCATTCTACTGCCAATGTTTGTCTATGGAGATTGCATGGCTGTGTGCTCGATTTTATGCCTGTCAACCTGTCAGGTGTGGCTGAAATAGCTGAATCCATGAATTTGAAGGGATGTTCACATACTTTTGGTCATGTAGTGTATCTACCTATATCACTCCAGTATCCCTGCACATTGTAAATATGGTATTGGCACTGACCCTGGAACTGTCCCTGTATATAAATTACTTACTTTCTCGTGTTCTTCTTATTTCTATTTCTCGCGTGTTTCTGTTCTACCTTGTGTTCTTTGTATTACATTGTTATTGATTACTGCATTGTTGGGTTTAGAGCTTGCAAGTAAGGCATTTCACTGCAAGCTCTAAACCGTGACATTAAAACTTGAAACTTAAAAACTCTCACCTTTTCTCTCTCACAACAGTTATTTGTGCGTCCCTTACAAGACCATCACCTTAACTCACCCATATCTGGTTCCAATTCTAGTCTGGCATAACACACCATGCTGGACAACACACACACACACACACACAATACACACATACACAATACACACACAGACAGACACACACAGCTGGGCCTGATTAAGAGACAAACTGCCTAGAGAAGTACATGAGTGGAGAGCAGCTGCAGGTTGAAGACCTGGGAGGAGAGAGGTCCGGTGTCATGCTGAGAAACACAAGGAGATCATCAGGAATACCAGGAACAACACACTTTTACTGTCTACAAACACATACTATTTACACATCAAGCCTGGACAGACGCATTTTTTTATTTATTTAAGTGAAACACATCCCATTCATCTCTACGAGGGCCCTTTTTCCCAAGGGACTAGCTGTGTGTGTGTTTGTGTTATTCCAGGGGCAGTGTGAATCCTGTCTGATATTAAAGATGTCCTCCAGCAATTTTTGTCTGCCTGTCTGTCGGTTTCTCTGTCTGCCGGTCTCATTGTCCGTCTGTCCATCCCTGTCTGTTTGTCTCACTCTCTCTTCCACCCCACTCCCTTCCTCCTCCTCTCCCCTTTACTCAACTTCTCTGTCCAGGAATTCTGGACTAAAGTTGGACTGATCTGCATTATGTCGATGTGGAGTTCCACAGAAGGATTCACTTTAGAGACCATCTGTCTCTGTACACGAGTGACGCACACACACGTGTTTATGTTTGCTATTTGAATAGTGTTGGTTATCAGAACCAGGTTTTGGTTTGAGATGGTTTATAAGACAGAGATGGGCCAAGAAGGCTAGCTAGCGATATGATGTAAAACAGCTGTTGCTTTTTATAACAGTTAATCTCACACACAACCTTATACTCATGCAACACACACCACACACACACCTGATTAAGAGACAGAAACAGCCTAAAGGAGTACAGAAGTGGAAAGCAGCTGCAGGTTGAAGACCTGGGAGGAGAGAGGTCTGGTGTCATGCTGAGAAACACAATGCGATCATCAGGAATACCAGGAACAACACACTTTTACTGTCTACAAACACATACTATTTACACATCAGGCCTGCTGGGAATCTTTTAGACATACGTTAAGGTATGACCAGCCAACCAACAGAGCAAAGAAACAGGCTGCAGTGAGAGAGACTGGGTATTATAGTGTGGGCCCTGCCTCTTCACTACTCCATCTTCTTTTACATGATTGTGACAACACATCGTTCTATGTCTGTTTGTCTGTCTGTATCGCACGCACGCAAGCCACACACACACGCACAGCTGCAGTGATCTACCTTGGCCAGCAGGCTGATGGGGTCCATGGTGCGTAGTTCCTGCGTGATGTTGGGGACTTCCTGTTGGAGGTAGAGCTGAAGCATGGAGCTCAGCTGAGACAGACCCTCCCTCCTCTCCTCTCCCATATCACACAGGTCTGTACAGGACAAAGGTTGGTTTTGGTTTATGTTTGGTCTTTGTATTCACATTATTCATATTTCCTGGTAAGTAATCAACATGTAAGTGTGAAAAAAAAACAACCTATGCTATATTTGTTGCCGAGAGGAAGACCGATAACGATCCACACAGAGAGACACAGAGAAAGAAGAGGAGAGAGAGAGAGGTGCGCGCAACCTTGGCTATCCTACAAGTAACTACTATAAATTACACTTGATTTACAGAAATAAATATGACCTGATTCAGAATGGTGTCAACAGTGCATCATGAAAATATCAATGTATTGGGCTGATTAATATTGTGTGCTATAGTAATGTGTTGAAGTATACTACAAATGTTCATACCTATGCAGGCCTTATTATCAACAGAATAATTAAGTAATGTAAAAGAAATACAATTAATCACCACATCAGAAATGATCAAAATGTCTTGTCTATTCTCTATGGTCCAACTCCAGTCCTCCAGTACCCCCAACAGCACAAATGTTTTATTGTAGCCCCGGACAAGGACACCTGATTCAACTTGTCCACTAATCATCAAGCCCTCAATGAGTTCAACCAGGTGAGTTTGTCCGGGGCTACAACAAAAATGAGTGCTGTTGGGGGTACTCAAGGAGTGGAGTTAGGAAACACTGGTCTAACAGGTTTCTGTTTAGTGACTTTTAAATCCCTGCTACAGTGTTGTTTTTGATGGTAAAATGAATGTATGTGATTTACCAGTCTATTGTCAACTTTACAGTCTGGGATAAAAAAATATTTAAAAAACTGCCACTTTTTTAAATAAACAGCTGAGGGATGAGGTTAAGGCAGTGTTTCTTTCATGGTCCTGGGGACCCAAATTGGTGCACATCTTTGTTTTTGCCCTAGTACTACACATCTGATTCCACCAATCAAAAGTTTGATGATGAGTTGATTAGTGTAATGAGGTGCATAGTGCTAGGGCATATACAAAAATGTGCACCCCTTTGGGTCCCCAGGACCAGGATTAAGAAACAATTGGTTAAGGGTGAAATTCCTGCCCGACTAGATGCGCAGGGATTGCATTTCATCAACCAATGGTTGCGTGCCACGTCATAGACTGTGCTGTTGGGCACCAGATTACTATAAACATACACTGAGTGTACAAAACATTAAGAACAGCTTTCTAATACTGAGTTCCACCCCCCCACCAGCCTCAATTCGTCAGGGCATGGACTCTACAAGGTGTTGAAAGCTTTTCACAGGGATGCTGGCCCATGTTGACTTCAATGCTTCCCACAGTTGTGTCAAGTTGGCTGGATGTCCTTTGGGTGGTGGACCATACTTGATACATATGGGAAACTATTGAGCGTGAAAAACCCAGCTGTGTTGCAGCTCTTGACACAAATCGTTGCGCCTGGTATCTACTATCATACCCCGTTCAAAGGCACTTAAATCTTTATGTCTTGCCCATTCACCCTCTAAATGGCACACATACACAATTCATTTCTCAATTGTCTCAAGGCTAAAAAATCCTTCTTTAACCTGTCTGCTGTCTTTCATCTACACTGATTGAAGTGGATTTAACAAGTTAGAGTGCATTCGGAAAGTATTCAGACCCTTCGATTTTTCCACATTATCTTGCATTACAGCCTTTTATAAAATAGATAAAATAAATTCCTCATCAATCTATACACAATACCCGATAATGACAAAGCGAAAACAGGTTTTTCAAAATTGTTGTATTCAAAATAAAAAACAGAAATACATTATTTACATAAGTATTCAGACCCTTTGCTATGAGACTCAAAATTGAGCTCAGGTGCATCCTGTTTCCATTGATCATCCTTGAGATGTTTCTTCAACTTGATTGGAGTCCACCTGTGGTAAATCCAATTGATTGGACATGATTTGGAATGGCACACACCTGTCTATATAAGGTCCCACAGTTGACAGTCCATGTCAGAGCAAAAACCAAGCCATGAGGTCGAAGGAATTGGTCCGTAGAGCTCAGAGACAGGATTGTGTCGAGGCACAGATCTGAGGAAGGGTACCTAAATATTTCTGCAGCATTGAAGGTCACCAAGCACACATTGGCTTCCAACATTTTTAAATGAAAGAAGTTTGGAACCACCAAGACTCTTCCTAGAGCTGGCCGCCTGGCCAAACTGAGCAATTGGGGGAGAAGGGCCTTGGTCAGGAAGATGACCAAGAACCCAAGGGCCACTCTGACAGACATCCAGAGTTGCTGTGTGGAGATGGGAGAACTATCCAGAAGGACAGCCATCTCTGCAGAACTCCACCAATCAGGCCTTTGTGGTAGAGTGGCCAGACAGAAGCCACTCCTCAGTAAAAGGCACATGACAGCCCGCTTGGAGTTTGCCAAAAGGCACCTAAAGGACTCTCAGACCATGAGAAACAAGATTCTCTGGTCTGATGAAATCAAGATTTAACTCTTTGGCATGAATTCCAAGCGTCACGTCTGGAGGAAACCTGGCACCATCACTACGGTGTAGCATGGTGGTGGCAGCATCATGCTGTGGGGATGTTTTTCAGCGGCAGGGACTAATCAGGATCGAGGGAAAGATCTTATTTTATTTGTCACATGCGCCGAATACAACAGGTGCTTACTTACAAGCCCTTAACCAACAATGCATTTGTTTTTGTAATAAAATAACAATAATGAGGCTATATACAGGAGGTACAGGTTAGTTGAGGTAATTTGTACATGTAGGTAGGGGTAAAGTAACTATGCATACATAATAAACGGTGTGGGTGGGGGGGGGGTCAATGCAAATAGTCTGGGTGGCTAATTGATTAATTGTTCAGCAGTCTTATGGCTTGAGGGTAGAAGCTGTTAAGGAGCATTTTGGATCTAGACTTGGCGCTCCGGTACCGCTTGCCGTGCGGTAGCAAAGAGAACAGTCTATGACTTGGGTGACTGGAGTCTGACAATTTTTTGAGCCTTCCTCTGACACCGTTTAGTATATAGGTCCTGGATGGCAGGAAGCTTGGCCCCAGTGATGTACTGGGCCGTACGCGCTACCCTCTGTAGCGCCTTACGGTCGGATGCCGAGCAGCTGCCATACCAGGCGGTGATGCAACCGGTCAGGATGCTCTCGATGGTGCAGCTGTAGAACTTTATGAGGATCTGGGGACCCATGCCAAATCTTTTCAGTCTCCTGAGGGGGAAAAGGAGTTGTCGTGCCCTCTTCACGACTGTCTTGAAACTCTCGACCCGCTCCACTACAGCCCTGTCGTTGTGAATGGGGGCGTTCGGCTGTCCTTTTCCTGTAGTCCACGACATCTCCTTTGTCTTGCTCACTTTAAATGGAGAGGTTGTTGTCCGGGCACCACACTGCCAGGTCTCTGACCTCCTCCCTATAGGCTGTCTCATCATTGTCGGTGATCAGGACTACCACCATTGCGTCGTCAGCAAACTTAATGATGGTGTTGGAGTCGTGCTTGGTCACGCAGTCGTGGGTGAACAGGGAGTACCGGATCCCCTTGTTGAGGATCAGCGTGGCATATTTGTTGTTGCCTACCCTTATCTCCTGGGGGCGGCCCATCAGGAAGTCCAGGATCCAGTTGCAGAGGGAGGTGTTTAGTCCCAGGGGCCTTAGCTTAGTGACGAGCGTTGTGGGCACTATGGTTTTGAATGCTGAGCTGTAGACAATGAACAGCATTCTCACATAGGTGTTCCTTTTGTCCAGGTGGGAAAGGGCAGTGTGGAGTGCGATTGAGATTACGTCATCTGTGGATCTGTTGGGGCGGTATGCGAATTTGGAGTGGGTCTAGGGTTTCCGGGATGATGGTGTTGATGTGAGCCATGACCAGCCTTTCAAAGCACTTCATGGCTACCGACGTGAGTGCTACGGGGCGGTAGTCATTTAGGCAGGTTACCTTCACTTTCTTGGGTACAGGGACAATGATGGTCTGCTTGAAACATGTAGGTATTACAGACTTGGTCAGGGAGAGGTTGAAAATATCAGTGACAACACGCCTTGTGAATGTTGAACTGTTTAAAGGTCTTGCTCACGTCAGCTACGGAGAGCGTGATCATACAGTCGTCAGGAACAGCTGGTGCTCTCATGCATGCTTCAGTGTTGCTTGCTTCAAAGCGAGCATAAAAGTAATTTAGCCTGTCTGGTAGGCTCGCATCACTGCGCAGCTCGCGGCTGGGTTTCCCTTTGTAGTCCGTAATAGTTTTCAAGCCCTGCCACATCTGACGAGCGTCAGAGCTGGTGTAGTAGGATTCAATCTTAGTCCTGTATTGACGCTTTGCCTGTTTGATGGTTCGTCTGAGGGCATAGCGGGATTTCTTATAAGCATCCAGATTAGTATAAGTGTCCCGCTTCTTGAAAGCGGCAGCTCTAGGCTTTAGCTCGATGCGGATGTTGCCTGTAATCCATGGCTTCTGGTTGGGATATGTACGTAAGGTCACGTCGATGCACTTATTGACGAAGCTGGTGACTGAGGTGGTATACTCCTAAATGCCATTGGATGAATCCCGGAACATATTCCAGTCTGTGCAAGCAAAAAAGTCCTGTAGTGGAGAATCCGCGTCATCTGACCACTTCCGTATTGAGCGAGTCACTGGTACTTCCTGCTTTAGTTTTTGCTTGTAAGAAGAAATCAGGAGGATAAAATTATGGTCAGATTTTCCAAATGGAGGGGAGGGAGAGCTTTGTACGCGTCTCTGTGTGTGGAGTAAAGGTGGTCTTGAGTTTTCCTCTGGTTGCACATGTGACATGCTGGTAGAAATGAGGTAAAACAGATTTAAGTTTGCCTGCATTAGTCCCCGGCCACTAGGAGCGCCGCTTCTGGATGAGCATTTTCTTGTTTGCTTATGGCCTAATAAAGCTTGTTGAGTGCGGTCTTAGTGCCAAAGTACAGAGAGATTCTTGATGAAAACCTGCTCCAGAGCGCTCAGGACCTCAGACTGGGGCGAAGGTTTACCTTCCAACAGGACAACGGCCCTAAGCACACAGCCAAGACAATGCAGGAAAGGCTTTGGGACAAGTGTCTGAATGTCCTTGAGTGGCCCAGCCAGAGCCCGGACTTGAACTCGATCTAACATCACTGGAGAGACATGAAAATAGCTGTGCAGCGACGCTCCCCATCCAACCTGACAGAGCTTGAGAGGATCTGCAGAGAAGAATGGGAGAAACACCCCAAATACAGTTGTGCCAAGCTTGTAGCGTCATACCCAAGAAGACTCGAAGCTGTAATCGCTGCCAAAGGTGCTTCAACAAGTCAATACTTTGTGGAAGCACCTTTGGCGGCGATTACAGCTTTGAGTCGTCTCGGGTTTGTCTGTATCAGCTTTGCTCATCTGGATTTGGGGATTTTCTCCCATTCTTCCTCTAAGATTTTCTCAAGCTCTGTTAATTTAGATGGGGAGCTGCGGTGAACAGAAATCTTCACAGATCTTTCCACAGATTTTCAATGGGATTCAAGTCTGGGCTTTGGCTGGGCCACTCAAGGATTTTCACATCCTTGTTCTGTAGCCATTCCAGCATTGCTTTGGCTGTATGCTTGGGGGTCATTGTCCTGTTGGAAAGTAAATCTTCGCCCCCTCTGAAGCAGCTTCTCATCAAGGATTTGCCAGTATTTGGCTCCATTTATTGTTCTCTCTATCCTTACCAGTCTCCCAGTCCCTGCCGCTGAAAAGCATCCCCATAGCATGATGCTGCCACCACCATGCTTCAAGTTAGGGATGGTGTTAGATGGGTGATGAGCTGTGCCTTTCTCCAGACATAGTGCTTTGCCTTCAGGCCAAATAGTTACATTTCTGTCTCATCAGACCACAGAATATTTTGGATTTGCCTGTATATTATGATCTCAGAGTCTTTCACATGCCTTTTTGCAAACTCCAGGCATGCTGTCATGTGCCTTTTTCTCAGGAGTGGCTTCCGTCTGGCCACTCTCCCATAAAACCCAGATTGGTGAAGTGCTGTAGAAACTGCTGTCCTTCTGCGAGGTTCTCCCATCTCAGCCAAGGAACTCTGTAGATCTGTCAGAGTGGTCATTGGGTTTTTGGTCACCTCCCTGACCATGGTCCTTCTTGCCCAGTTGCTCAGTTTGGTCGGACGGCCAGCTCTAGGCAGAGTCTGGGTAGTTCCATATTTTTTCCATTTCCCAGTGATGGGGACCACTGGGCTCTTGGAAACGTTCAACACTCTAGAAATTATTTTATACCTTTCCCCAGATATATCTACAGACAGTTCCTTGGACTTCATGGTATAGTTTCTGCTCTGACATGCACTGTCAACTGTGGGACAAAGGGGTGTGAATACTTACGTAAATTAGATATTTCTGTATTTCATTTACAAAAAATGCACTTTGTCATTATGGGGTATTGTGTGTAGACGGATGAGGATAATTAAAAAAATAAAATCTACATTGAATTCAGGCTATAACAACAAAATGTGGAATAAGTCTAGGGAATACTTACTGAAGGCACTTTATATGTACGACAATATGCTGAGGTTGAATGCTCATATAGTTTGAAACAAACACTTGAAAACATAAAATACACAAATAATATGATGACATACACATATGAGATGATCAACAACCCAACTGACGAGTTGCAGTATATTAATCACACAGTTTAATACACAGAACACAAAGAAGTTAGGCCTATATGATATGTAATTCAGCTATGATATTCTAAATAGAAGACAAGATGCACGACACAAATGACACTAGGAACTTCTCATATGACTTGAACTATACAACTGAAATGGAGCATATGTCATTCGAAATGTTCCGTAACTTATTAGATATGGTATTCTGTGGCGAAAAAAACATGGAATACTTAGATCTCCTGAATATGAGTAGTCACTCTCAATGTATGTTCGGAGTGACTATTGATTTAATATTGTACTGTGTTGCTCTGCCTGCTATCTATGTGGCTAGCTATACTCTGTTCCATCTGGTCAAAGCTAATAACTTGGCTCCTGTTATATTCGTCATCCATCTCCTCATCTCAGATCTCATCTAGGACTTAAATCAGGGCTGTGCATTTCATAACCAGGGGACAACCGTTAGGATTTGCTAAAACATTCTACGTGCATGCATTTTTCTTAGTCTTTGTATTTGTCAACATTTTCTTGATGATGTGCATCTCCCTGGAGAGATATGTGATGATCGCACAACCTCTGTGGTACCAGAGTCATCACTCCAACACAGTCTATTGCCGCATGGGTGCTCTCTGCCATAGTGACATTACTGACAATGCTTAACTGCACTTGTTTTGACTAATGCTTTGATGGATGTGTAATTGTAAATGTATAGTGTTGTATTGAGACGTTGATTTATTGTTCATAGGGCACCCTTGTAAATGAGACCCTGATCTCAATAGGTTTCCCCTGGTTAAATAAAGACCAAAAATGAACAATCTTAGAAAACCATCTATTATATTCCTTTTCCTTCCCTTCCTAGTGTTTCACACGGTAGGAACTTGGAGGGGTTTTTTCTGCCGCCATCCTAGTTTCTGATCATGACAAGCGAAAGATACTGGGTACATTAATACTAGTGCTGGCCCCTATACCATACTGTTTCTACCATATACAGTATCTGCATGTTAGTCTACCAACAGTGACTTAATGATCACCATTATAATGAAAACAATGCTTTGGTCACATCTGAGCTGCCTTGTTGACCCCTTCCTGTATAGTCCATGAGGAATGATGTTCTGGTTATATTCCCATGTGGGAAGCTGCTCGCTAGACTAAGAGCCACAGGCTCTTACAGTACTACTGTAAACATTTATGTTATGAGAATTAATGTTTCTTATGGGATTGTAAACATGAAAAATGCTTCACATAAAAAGAAGAGAAAAGCAAAAAAGTATTGAATGTCACTTTTGTCCTTAACATTCTGTGCACGCACTCACACAGAGAGGGGAGGTGGGAGGGACTTACGTGACTCCTGCTCCTCTAAAGAACACAGCCCTGGAGAAGTCTGCGATGGACTCAACTAAAGGGGGAGGAGAGAGGGGGAGGAGAGAGAGAGAGGGGGAGGAGAGAGAGAGAGGGGGAGGAGAGAGAGAGAGGGGGAGGAGAGAGAGAGAGAGGGGGAGGAGAGAGAGAGAGAGGTACGTAGAAGGTAAAAGTGGTGGGAAAACAGAAGCTAAGATAAAGAGGGTGGAAAAGTGGAAAACTAGATGAGATCAATTATTTATCATGAGAACCGTCTAAAAACTAAACAACCTTTCTAACCCTAGTAAAGGGTTGGGTTCAATTCCATTTTCATTTTCTGTGAGGATATTTCAACTTCTGAAATGACTGGATTGAAAACGGATTGACCATTCAATTCAGGAAGTGAATTGACATTGAACCAATCGTTGAGCGAGTCAGGAGAGGCGTACCAATCTAAAGATGATCCTGGCCGCCAGACGGACAGAGTCAGTGGGGATTCTGGGGTGGAGGCTGCAGAGACATTTACACTCCCTCTTATGGTCCGACCATGCCCGTTTCTGGAGAGAAAACACATATATTTGTTTTACTCTCTTCTCCGTTTTCATTTGGGTAGAAAATATCAAACCAAAATAGGAATAGGACCGGTACAAACAGAAAACTGAAAAGGGGTCGAGAGATTTGGAAAGAACTGATGGGAATGAAAATAAAAAGTGGAAGTCAAATTTCGGTTAGACCTTGTGTGCAATTGACCAATAAAGTGATCTTATATGTAAAGGTTAGTGTCGATGTGAAAGCATGATGGGTAAAAGGCGAATTTACAGTGTTGGCTTGAGATCTGTGCAAGTCAAATCATAATTTACACAGCAGCAGTGTTTGCACTATACAGGACTTCTGTTGATTTCAATTGACAATTTTGGTGCAAGAGGGCCTGGATGTTGCTTTGCACCACGCCTGGAAATAATCTAGGGGAAACACTGCACAGAAGGACGAGGGAGATGAGCACACACACATTTCCATTACACACACACTTGTTGTGTAATGGAAACCAGTTTAAATGGGGAGCAGAAGAAGGCAGCATCTTGTCATTAATGTCATTAGGTGACATCATGTGCTGAAGTAGGAATTGGGTCAGTCTCAGATGTTACACCACACATCCCTAGGTCTATTGTTCCCCTACAATAGGGTTATTTCTTTCACATCCATCTTCACTTTAAGTACTTGAATGAGTGGAAACAGCAATGGACAAAATGAGACAACTTCTGGTTGGGCTGCTTACCTGGCAGGTGACGTCACAATACCGCGCTACCTTACACTGAGAACATCTCAGGAGGGTTTCACGCCTAAAGAGACAGAGAGAGACCGAGACAGAGACAGAGAGATACAGGGAGGAGAGAGCGGGAGACCGAGACAGAGACAGAGAGATACGGGGAGGAGAGAGAGGGAGACCGAGACAGAGAGATACGGGGAGAGAGAGAGAGAGGGAGACCGAGAGGGAGAGAAACAACATTAACTCACAGTTGATTTGGGGACTTTTTCTCTGAGGCAGTGCCCCACATACAGTGCCTTCAGAAAGTATTCGTCACACTCCTTGACTTTTTCCACATTTTGTTGTGGTACAGCCTGAATTTAAAATGGATTAAATGGAGATGTTTTGTCACTGGCATACAGTACATACACACAATACCCCTTCATGTCAAAGTGGAATTATGTTTTTGACATTTTTACAAATTAATAAAACATTTAAAGCTGAAGTAACTAAGCAAATGTTTACTCATTAACTTATTTAGGCTTGCCATAACAAAGGGGTTGAATACTATTGACTCAAGACATGTCAATAGTATTCAACCTCTTTGTTATGGCAAGCCTAAATAAGTTAATGAGTAAACATTTGCTTAACAAGTCACATAATAAGTTGCATGCACTCTGTGTGCAATAATAGTGTTTACAGTGCCTTGCAAAAGTATTCATCCCCCTGGGTGTTTTTCCTATTTTGTTGCATTACAACCTGTAATTTAAATGGATTTTTATTTGGATTTCATGTAATGGACATACACAAAATAGTCAAAATTGGTGACGTGAAATTAAAAAAATAACTTGCTTCAAAAAATTCTAAAAAATAAATAACGGAAAAGTGGTGCGTGCATATTTATTCACCCCCTTTGCTATGAAGCCCCTAAATACGATCTGGTGCAACCAATTACCTTCAGAAGTCACATAAGTAGTTAAATAAAGTCCATCTGTGTGCAATCTAAGTGTCACATGATATATACACACACACACACACACACACACACACACACCTGTTCTGAAAGGCCCCAGAGTCTGCAACACCACTAAGCAAGCGGCACCATGAAGACCAAGGAGCTCTCCAAACAGGTCAGGGACAAAGTTGTGGAGAAGTACAGATCAGGGTTAGGTTATAAAAAAATATCCGAAACTTTGAACATCCCACAGAGCACCATTAAATCCATTCTTAAAAAATTGAAAGAATATGGCACCACAACAAACCTGCCAAGAGAGGGCCGCCAGCCAAAACTCACAGACCAGGCAAGGAGGGTATTAATCAGAGAGGCAACAAAGAGACCAAAGATAACCCTGAAGGAGCTGCAAAGGTCCACAGCGGAGTGTAACTGCCTCTGTCGCCAGTTTATTTCATGTATTAGCACTTTAGTTTATTTTATGTATTCTTTTTATTATTTAATTTCTTCTGAATTGTACGTTTACAGCAAGACGGAACTAATTTGGTTCCGCCCGAGTGTTGTCACCAGAGCGCCTTTAGCGACGCACCGAGGAAACTTTACCGCAAAAAGCGAATTATTTTTCCACTGTTATCGTGTTTAAGTGCATACTTACAAAGAAAGTATACAGAAGAAGATAAAGGACATTTAAAAGGATGTTTAGCACCTCTGTGTGATAAGCAGCAATGAGTTCTCACGGGTTGACCAGCATTAAAGCCCTGTATTCAAATCAAGACCTCTTGCCTCATGCCTGTCACTGGAGGAGCTACAGTGAGAACTCATCTGCTCTGCATGAGTAGACGAGGAAGACAGTACCAAAGAGCCGTGATCCATGGACAAGAAGGGACATCTCTACATCCAAGAGTGTGCATCCGCTCCTGACATTTACACAGCCGCAGCATCCACAGAAGAATCCAGGCGCCTTACCATGAATCCAGCTGATGCAAAGAAGCTTAAACTATTTCCCACAAGAGACTGACACATTTTTGCCTTCATATTCATACGGTATAGTTGTGTGTATGTTTAAGTGTTAACTAAGCTACAACCAAGAGACTGAATTTTGCATTTCATAGAACAACGTGATATTGATTTGTGTGAAGTAGATGTGAATATGTTCTAAAAAATAATATTAGTGGTAAAAATAGTATAAATGTGAATAGCTAATGGGAGCTGAATCACTTAGCTACAGGCCAAATTAGATTTAACCCAAATTTAAGTACACCAAGTAACAATGTCAGAGCCTAGTCTTACCTCTGGGAGAAAGCAGGTTAATGTAGGTGAAAGTATAGAGCAGCAGTGCATAGACATGCAACCACAGGCTACTAAAGGCACAAGAGCTAATGACCACACTTCCTCACAAGAACCACGAAGAAGCCACAGAGACCGAAAGTTAACAGAAAAGGGCCAAGAACTGTACAATGAGCAAATAAGAAGATTTGCTCACCGTTTCACTGTGAGCTATGAGGAGTGGAATGCTATTGCTAAAGACGCCAAGCAAGCTTTGAGTGGACAATGCTCAAACAACCTGCTACATGAACACATAAGCAAAATAAGTGCTGCCTCAGAGAATCTGAACATTGCTTATGATGAGTTAAGGCGCATAGACAACCCTGACCATGACACACGTCGCAGAATTGACACCTGTGATGCAGTAACCAGGAAGATCATCCAAACTGCAAAAGATCGTTTGGAGACAGCAGATAACGGTGGAGGAGATGAACAACGAGGCAACAGGGCGACATCGTCTATATTCAAGTCTGTAGCCTCAGACAAGATAAGTATCAAATCCCAATGCACTAAGTCCTCTCATGCTCAACGCAGCTCCAGACATTCAAGTCGGATTTCTGTTAGCAGACAAGATGCCGCTGCTGAAGTTGCTGCCAATGAAGCTACTCTAGAAGTACTACTAGAACAAGAGTGTTGCATTGAGGAATTGGAAAGGCTTGAAGCTGAAGCTGCAGAGAGACAAAAGGTGCTAGATGCAAAGCGGAGACAACTGGAGCGACTAGAGACAGTTAAAAAGTTAAAGGCTGCTAAGGCACGTCAGCGAGTGTATGATCAGAGTGAGTGCTCAGATAAAGAAATAAGCAGTCTACTCCATCAAAGTGTCTGTATGAAGGAAAAGGAAGAAGTTAAACATGAAAATAATCTGTTGCAGCACCATTCTTCACCACAAGACCGGGCACATTCAAAGCAGGATGACAGCACAGCAGCTCTTGTTAGAGTACTTGCAGAGTCCATCAGTGCAGGTCGTCTTCCTATACCTGAACCAACAATATTCAATGGTGACCCACTCAGATTCAATGACTGGAAGGTTTCATTTCAGACACTCATTGATCGGAAAAAACATTCCAGCCGAAGAAAATATATATTACTTGCGAAAGTATGTGGGTGGACCTGCTAAAAAGGCTATAGAGAGCTACTTCCTGCTTGGTTCAGAGTCAGCCTATCACGCAGCATGGAGGATTCTCGAGGAAAGATATGGAAATCCATTCCTCATAGCCAAAGCATTCAGAGATAAGCTGGAGGCATGGCCCAAGATAAGCTCCAAAGGCAGTATCGAACTTCAAGAGTTTGCTGATTTTCTTCGGAGCTGTGAGGCTGCTATGACTCAGATCAGAGGCCTCGAAGTACTTAATGACTGCAATGAGAACCAGAAGTTACTTGCAAAGCTTCCAGACTGGCTGACCTCGAGATGGAACAGAAAGGTCATAGAAGTGGAGGAAGAAAGTCACACATTCCCAAGCTTCCAGCAGTTTGTAAAGTTTCTCACACGTGAAGCTAAGATTGCAAATAACCCAATAACATCTCTCCATGCTCTGAAACCTGCTGAAGGTGAGCAGATCAAGGTTTTAAAGAACAGAGCTCTCGGAGCAAAGGTACTAGCAACTAACTCAGATGAAAAAGCTTCCTCCACAAGCTGTGTTTTTTGTGAGAAGTCAGGTCACAGTCTACACAAGTGTTGTAAATTTATGAATAAAACCATCTCTGAGCGAGTCAAGTTTGTTCAAGGGATGAAGTGGTGCTTTGGCTGTCTGAAGCCTGGCCATCGCTCAAAGGAGTGTGAAAATAGAAGGATCTGTGATACTTGTGAGAAAGGACATCCAACCTGCCTACACGATAATCGCAGCAAAGAAAGAGGAATGTCAACAAGGACTGATGGAGAAATGGAGAGTGACAAGTCAAGAGAAAGAACGACAGATCGTTCACAAGAGAGGGTGACAAAACCACCACGCGAGGTAACATCTAACAGAGTTATCCAGAATGTACATCCTCAGTCATTCCTGTGTGGTTGTCCACTACAAGTAAGCCAAATCATG